CAGCCCAGAAGAGGTCGTCAACACTAAATATCCAAAAGCATGCCTCGTGCAGCAGTAACATTCTGTGGCTACTAACTATATGTGCATTGAAAATTCTTTATTTAATTAATGACCTTCAGTTTATTAAGTTTACAGTCTTCATAACTTCGTCCAACACCGTTTCCAGTGCCTCTGGAATCTTCTTTTCAATATTCCCAAGTTTCCTATCCCACTTTACCTCCCCCCCACCGATTTTTCTCCACCTAGCATCCCTGTCTCTTGATAATGAAAAATTACGATTGCCTGATGTCAGCAGCCACGGGATTGCATATTAATTGTGAAAAACATACTTCATTTCCCGCTAGATGTCGCCTGCATAAGGAACAACAGCTACCATCTAGTGAACGCAAAGCGAATTTCTTACACCCGATACTAAACAACTGTGCCTAAACTTAATAGGTGGCGTGCCGATAGCCAAGCAGTCTAAAGGCCTGTCCCTGAGATCACGAATTTATGTTGTAGAACCAATTATATTTCAGACTCGCGGATAACTTAATTTATTATATGAGAGTGTTGTAATTAACCGCAAATAGCATTCTTCTTTTTGACGAACCAGTTCTTTTCTCAAACAACCAAACATCACAATGTGTCAATCAGGCACGTTTCTATTTCAGATTAATCAATTTTCCGGTTTGTGATTCTTCTGTACCTTATCTACAAGTACAAGTCTATTAAATATAAGAAATCAAACAATGATAAAGGACTGAACTGTTGAAACAATCTAGATATTGCCTCCAGACGGTCAGAATTTCTGAGGCAATAGTTTTCGGCTGTAGAGACATATTTTGTTCGCTAATGCAATTTCGGCTGAAGACACACACGTCGATATAAAGGACATCTTCTTTTGTTAAACTGTTTTAGGAAAAGTCTTGACAGAAGAGTAGAAGTGGGACCAGGCCCTATATCAATCTGAAATTACCGATCATGTGAGCGGCACACGCCCACTTCACAGACATGCATATCAACGAGAGCTCGCGAGAATAATCTGGATGAATGGATCCGAGAGCCGTTTTAATCCACAACAGAAGAATAAAACGAAGGAATTGTTATGAACAGAGTCCGAACGGAGTAGCCTACATCTCCTGGGACTTTTCGAAGATATCGCAAAAGAACACATATTTGGAAAAATAATAATCTACATCAATTCCTTGCCGAGCATGGAAGTTCTTGGAACACAAATCAGTGGGGCAATGCCAAGGGCTCACAGGAAACTGGGACGCCCGTTCCATTAAACGAGAATCTCATTGAGGAACCCCCAGAATTCTTTTCCGTGTGTACGTAAATGATAATCTGCGGACACAAAAGCCAGAAATCGCGGTTAGTAAAACCACACTCGATGAAAGATTGCTCTATGATATAATTTTCAAAACAAACTGCTGTGCCCTGCTTCTCGTTCTCTGAATGTAGTTTGGGTTTATACAGAGGAAAGTTTCAGCAGCTCTGGAACATGCCATGAACAATTCTGAGTTCAACGATTATTTTAAAATTCACTGCTCAAGAACCGTATTGATTTTACCCATTGTCATAGAAGTTCACTTTGAGTGATGGTTATTGGAAATCAGCTGGAGTCCAGTGTCCCTAAAGCAATCATAGATCTTGGAATTGTATTGGCTTATCAATAACACTTCGTTACAATTAAAAATTCATCATCTGAAACCTACTCGCCGATTTAGCACATACAACTACATACTTCAAAACAATTACACACTGTGCCAGAAATATTAATTATAAAATTATCATTTCGTAATGTATGCACAGGGACAAATATTGGCTTCCTTAACCAGTAAAATAAATACGAGCTGCGTTCTGAAAATAACTTTTGCTAGCTTCCTGTTACGAAAGTTTTCCAACAGCAACAAAGGTCCCATCAAGGCTAAAAAATTAAGATGCAAAATCGCGAAGTAGTCATTTTGAAAATGTACGTACTCCACTGAAATACCATGCAGAATTCGTCCACTTTTCTATTACTCATAAGTATAGATGCGTTTATACTGAAGTTTATAATAATCAAACCGACAATTAAAACATGGACTCAAAACCCATCCATGACAAAGCGTATGATGATGTTTTCACAGACAATAGTTATTCCCATCGTCTGTGAGAGTGCCCGAATCATTATCACCAACTTCAGGGATCGGATTTACTAGGCAGGCTGTTCCGAACCCAACATCAATTTCCTGGAAGTGGTCTCACCATCTTTTCGTGGGTCTCCTACCTCTTAGTTCATTTCCCTTCGGAGAGTAACCAAAAATCAGGATGGTTTTTTAAATAGAAGTTTCTCCAATCGCTTCGCACGGTAATGTCAGTTCATTTGGTAAATTATATTTACAACTACAAAACTTATAATCATCGCTTCTCTCATGTATTAACTGTGAATTCAGTCAGATCTTCTAAATCCTGCTACAGGTCGGAGAAATTTGATATTCGCTGCTTATATATACGTTCTCTTTGGTTTATAGATAAGAGTCCCGCATTTCGAATAACCTAACCTGAAAATCAGTGTAACACAAAATATTTAATTGGTTCTAATATGGCGAAGGAAGTCTAACAGATTTTCATAGCATAACTTACACTACGAAATGACGTGAAAGCTAGACTGATGACCTCAACACAAAAATTAAACATTCATTTATCACTAATGCATTACTAACACATGCTAATACATTCTGAAGACTTCACCTATGTGCACACGACGTTTCGAGAGCTCTTAATTACACGGGCCCACTTATTTATTTAACTATCGGAAAGGTAATATTCTCAATGATGCTCATACGTGATTTGTCTCCTATCCCATAAGCTCGTATATTCCAGGCTATGTACAATTCTGTGACTATTGTCTCTTCTAGAACAATTTTGCAGTAATTTCCTACAATTTAGACCTGGTTTTTGCTTTAATTGTTGGCTGCACTGATTTGACAACATCGAATCTAGACACTTGGAGCTACCTTCTGTCCAAAGACACGTAACTAACTTCCTGTTCTTTGCGCTTTTAATAATTCCTTCTCATATTTTTTTCTGTCTTTATATCCACCGGTCACATGATGGGACAGTTTAGACATAAAGAGGGAGAGTAGAGTTGGGAAAAACCTGTACCCTACGCGAACACTTACCGATCGGTAAGACTAGAGCGAGTACACAACTTTAAATGTCACGATTGCTGCATATGTCAAGATTTGACAGAAAGGACGCACTTCCAAAACGTCGTACAAAGAAAATAAATTTAATATCCTTAATAATATTGAAAAATCAGCATATTCTGAACATGGGGCAGTAATATTGGTACACACTATGACCAACATCGACATCTTCACCACTTTGAGAATCTCAATTCTCATATCTGGGTCAAGATCGAAAACGCAAAGAACGCATTCAATCTTGAAGTAACTATTATGCACGAATTACTATAAACACACGACCATTTAAACGTTACCCTGTACAAAAATTTTAATGGCTACGTTTTAATAGTTACTATTACTACATTCATGCGAATATGTACCAAACATTGAATCTACCTCACAATTTATTTAAGGAAGAAACTACTAAGATTTAAAGGACACGTTTTGCTACCCTTCCAGTAGTTGTCGCCGTCTGTATACACGTGCCCTATATAACGCCGGTCCATGTGGCATGTAGATAAGAAAACTTAAATAACGTGAAAGGGAGAAAGTACGGCGTTACAAAAGCTCAGGTTATCTTGATCACGAAGGTCATCGGATGTCATATCACAGGACACTGTTTGGACCTCGAAACATTCCTATTGCTCGCCCTGATCACCGCTCGGACACAATTTTTTCTCGGGATCCTTCCACTCCCTTGCCCTCTCCATTTGCACGTTCTTTATATAGGCAATACAGAATCTCCACACAAACTGAGTTGTCAATTGCTTATTTTTTAAAATAAAATGTAACTTAGTTCCAACCTAATGTTATAAACAATCTAGTATGATTTTAGCAACAACAAAAAAATTCATTTATGTCTTTCCACTGCCGTAAACAAAACATACTATCCCTTTCAAAACCAGAAACAAATTTTACCAGGGAAAAGGCAATGTGAATCAATATATCATACAGTGAAAGACTATGCAATTACATATATTTCTGAAACCATTTCGAAGTTTTACAGGCATACTAATTCTGGCATGTCATAGCCAAGGGAGATCATTAACACGAGTATCTGAAACTATAGCACATGCAATGGATGGCCAATTCTTCCGTCTTCTTTACGGAAAATATTTCTCCTCATGGATACCTCAAGCAATTTTCATAACCTTACATCAAAAGCAATTTCCGTGACATGTAATCTCGTTGAAACACGAATATTTGCCGCCTGATACTATCTCGGTTAAACACATTACGACAACCTATACATAAGCCCTCCCCACAAATGGAGTGTAGCATACACTTCAACTAATCATGAATATTAAGACAATTACGTAGTTAGTGGGAACTACAACCGAACTTTCAACTGTACATACAGAATTACTGCCCTGGACAATGTTAAGCCAAGGCCACGTGCGTGATTTTTTATAATGAATAATAGCAATGATGCAAAACTTTACTTACCAATTGATGGAAATATGCTGGACTGTTCCAACAGCAGTTTGAGGTTACTCTGCACAATTGTGGGTGATGCAGAATCCTTCTCGGTCATTTCACACTTTACCCAATAGTTGTAATTTACCAATTTCACTGTTTACAAACGAAATACAGCGGCACCACACTCTTAAAACACCAGACTAGGCCTCCGTCAGAAAAATAATAGAGTTCAGGGCTACCAACAATTCAAAACGTACAGTTCCCCAGCAACATCACTATCTTGACAAACCAAATTCCCCCCCACTCAGTATGAATCCAAGCACTCGGTGATCTGGACTAATGAATACCTTCAGCACCATTTTTAAAAAAGCAATTTACTTGTACAATTTCCCACAGAAATTATTAAAAGCATTAAAATACACACTACTGGCTTATAACATAGAAATTAGTTTAAAATACAATAGCAAATTCACAAATTAAATACAAACCTGGCACAATAAGCATAACATAATTAAATATTTGAAATACTGCTAATCACAAAGTACCAAAACAATAGTTCATTATGTACAAACAGGTTATTTGACAGTACAATCTTAACATATGCCTGTAGTGACTGATAAAACCACATAACCTCAGTCAGAGTTGCCAGCAATTCTGCTGATTCCCATTTCTTTGACCATTACTTATTTATCAGTCTGCACTGTAAGAAGCACAGAAACACATTACAGTTGGTGTACTTCAAAGTCACACCCAGGAATTTAATTCCTATTCGTAAATACACAAAGCATTCATTCCTCATTTTCAAAGATACGCTAGTTGACCACAGTTTATTCAAAGTAATATGAATTGAAAGACTAGTGTTTGCCATTATTGAGTAATATTATAATAAAATTACTTCTTAAAAATAACAACCATCAAATGTTATCCATTAAGATTGATGCCCTTAATTTGAAACACACAGCAACATGATATTAGTTTCTTCAGAAATTTACTGCTCAGCAGTCAATGAACACTTAAAGGATTGTGTTAAACATAAAATAATTTCCTGCTATGGTGACATTTCTTGGTCAACCCCCTTGCCCGATCAGTCGGCTTGTGACTTGTTTTTATGGAGCTACTTGAAAAGCAAAGTCTTTCAAACATATCCAGCACTCTAAAGTAATCTCAAACAGAGAATTTCAGAAGAAATTAATGCCATATGACTGCACATAATGTAAATAGTTATGAATGAAGTGCATCAATCTTGATGGACAACTGATGGGTATTATTTTTAGGAAGTAAGTTTGTTATAATGATCCTCAACGATGGCAAACAATTATTTTTAATCTGCATTACTTTGAATTAATATGAATAAACTGTTGGTCGACTTGTGTATCTTCAAAAACACTGCCCCACTCTGTAGATCTATGTGATCTGAAACCAACATATCAGAAGGAAAAACAAAAATAAATACAATTTGAAATACAGAAATAATCTTTGTATTATGTTTGATCCATATATTTTTTATATTATATGACAAATTGAACAAAGTGTCTGTATTAAAATTTCTCATGACGTACAAAGGCCTGCTGGCATTATTCTGGAAGTTGTTTACAAATATTTTGTTAAACATGGTCATCTTTTACTCTAGTGTTTTATTCCTCATTTTTCACTCCTTATATTTTGATTACTAACTACAGGAAAGTAGCAAACATTAAATTAATACAAAATAAATAACTAGTGGTAAAATGTGTTATTAGACTTCTACTCCCATAGAATGACATTTTAAGACAAAATAAAAAACAAATTTGCACACACTTTTCTCTTAGCTGTTTGCAACACCTTGTTCTTCCTCCAGCAGACTATTATCTGTAAAATATAGATGCTTTTAATAAATCAGAGGACTAAAATACAAATTTCTAGAAGGATTGCAACAAGTGCAGGACCAGCAGACTACCTGTGCTGGATTATGAGTCTGAAAAAACTGAGCACCAAACTTACTAGATGGGTCCTCCTGGGGTTATTCAAAATCTAGTAGACCATAAAACATGAAGCCATAAATTGTCGTGTGGTTCTGGATGTGATATTTTGGCACACAGCAGTGCTCTGAGAGTCTGGGACTTCAGATTGGTCCAGTGAAAGTGAAGCACATGGTGTAATGTGATACACAGATGAATGACAAGGAGAAGGAAATAACAATAAATGGTGCAGGCTCAATGGACTATCTAAAGGTTTGTAACCTGATTACATTATTGTCAAAGTAAAGGAACTTTTAAATTAAGCATGCATACTCATCATTCCTCAAATAGAAATTAATGAATAAACTATTTCATGAGTGTTGCTTTTGACAAATCTGATAAAATACATCTTAACATAGGGTACTACATAGATAAATACAAATAATCAAGAACATGCAGCAGACTTGATATTTTCTCTTGCTCTTTCAAGTAGATGTTACCTCAGACATTTTACCACTAAAATTTTGTATGAATTCTTTTGCTGTAGAACAAATTTCAGACTTAGTTTTGAGGAATTCCACTCTATCAACAGTTAATAAACTGTGATCTATCAACATACATCAATATCTATCAGTTTCAAACAAGTATTTTGATAAAGTTCAAAATGTAAATTTATAAGTGAGTGATATTCTATTTCTCACTGCTTTTGAAACCCATTTGATGCACAAAGAGTTGAGTTAAACTTTACAACTGATGCAGTAACCTTGATACCATGACTGTAGACATTAACTTTGAAACAATTCTCAAACAATGAATGCTGCTGTAACCAGAATAATGAATGAATTTCAGACACACAACAATACACTATTCCGTTAAT